TAATAATATTGACTACTAATGACATTGACAAATAGTGGTTTACCATTTGAAGCAAGAACTTGTGATGTTATTCTCATTGCATAGTTCATTTCTTTTGGTAAAATGGGTAGAAGAGCTTTCTCTGATAACATACCTTGTGAATAGACAAAACAGATGTTTAGAAACAGTGGTGCATACTACAGACATTTACAAGAATGTAATATTGATAAATTGAAAAAATGGTTATAAAAGAAAGAAAAATACCAATCATGGCAGACAAACCTACCATGGCCGACCTCCCTGCGACCAAGTTTGAGGTTYTGCTTAAATTCATTGGTTGCAAATGGAGGGAACTAAAACAATGAGATGTATTTTAAACTATATTTCAACAAAAAAGGCATCTTAAATTTATTTGAGCTCACCACCCAAACCCCATGAAAACTTTTCTTAACCAATTTTGAATTCTTTCATTAAGATATTGCATACCTCATAATGTAACATAAACTGTTTCTCTGCATCACCACTGAAATTATGAAATCAAAGTTAAGTTAACATTAATTCTCATTACAGTTGACTCTTCACTTGCCTTGCCTTAACAAGCAATTAATTAAATCCTCAGATATCTGCACTTCTTACCCTAGRGCCTTGGACATTGCATCCATTTTGGCTGCAGAGCTAGCTGGACCAAATGTGGCTGTAGAAAACACCTGCAGAAAATCAGAATGACATCCTGTAAGTTCAACATGAATWACAAAGAGCATTATGGAAAAGACAATGACTTCTAGACAAAAATAATAGGATTCAGAAAAAGAGGGACAGAAAGGAGGAAGAAAAGAAATTATGCAAGGAGAKAAGCATACAAGAGAAATGGTAAAAAAAACAGAAATGGCAAAGGAAGATAAAAAAGCATACAAAAAACATGGACCACTGGCTAATATAATAAAGACAATTTTTAACTAAAAAGTCATTACACCTGAGTTTCCCCTCTATCAAACAAAGCAGATCCGTGCAATCCATTAAAAATGTTGACCTCGCATTTAATATCTCTAAGCTGGTGGACAGACCGGCCATCACATCTATAAACAACATAAAAATGACATCATAACAATCCAACAACAAACATTTTTCAGTCTGAACACATGCAATGATTTGCACAGCTCTTTTAATTGGWCATTTATGTCAATTAACATAAAGATGAGCTTAATTAGAATTAACTTTTTCACCTTTGTTTTGTGTCCAAAATAGTCTTTTTTAAAACATCTTTACTTGTGTTATAAAATGCTTGTGCTAWCAGAGTTTTGTCTATATCAGGATGATCCTCTAAAAAAATAAGGGAAGAGAATGTTATTATCATTGAATTCACGTAACAACAAATGATGATACTGATATGAAAACTGATTTACCTTGTAACGTTTTTATACAGTTATCTCTCAGTGTATAAATTTCATCATCTCTTTCCAACTATAATGGAAAACAGCAAATTTAATAATTCATTAACTAAGGAAATGGTGGAAAAAAAATGGAAAACAGGAGTTGCTGTTGAGAAGCTGACTTCTCAAAAAGTTATATTTTCCACTGGCTGAGATAAAAAAAAGTGGAAAATGTTTTCTCTCACACCATGGAAGCCTGGGCCGAGAGGCCTTAATCACGCGGGTAGGGTTTAAGCTCAGCTGCTTTTTCGCTGTCCGCCATTGACTGAGTTTTCACTCAGGCAGTGCCCGCCCACCCTAGTAATAGTCTGTTGGCGGTAGTCAACTAGACAATAAGTTCCCATTGGTGTGTGAGAAGTATTGTTTTCTTCAATTATTTGCTGGTACCATTTTCATGTGATACTGTCTGACACATTTCTCATAAGCCATGAATTACAATATAACCAGTTAACGTATAGTAGTTACCTTTTTATAAGTAAAATTTGAAAATATT